AATGGCAGTATGATTAAAATTCCTAATTGTCCGTCTTTCTTTTTTTTTTTTATCGGTGGATGCAGTTCTAGATGAATTTGCATACTTGTTAAAATAATATTCTGCTATTTCTATAAACAAAGTATAATACCGAAAAGGGGTATGCGTGTGCATCAATGTCATACCATACATTGTAACTTTAATCTTTCATTGAGTGAATAATTTGGGGAAACGTGCACATTTTTGGGATTGGTAGAAAATTTCAAAAGTCTGGTAATTTAGCGTCTGTTTATGTACCTCTTAAATCTGAACTATAATGTTTAGATTTTCTAATGATCCAATTGTAAAAATTTGTTATTTTTGAGGCATTTGAAAGAAAATAATTTCCTCAAAATAATTGTATTGCCTTATTTTGGAATTATAGGGGAAAAAGTTGGAAGAAAACATAGAGTTGATGAGAAAAGATATGGAGGAACCAACTGAAGTAGAAGTTGAAGTCAAGCGAAGGCTTGGCCAGATGACTGACCATTTAATTCAGAAGCAAGCTCAGGTTTGTCTTTCAATGTTTCTCCATTTGAATTGTAAATTCCAGTTTTCCAACTTCTATGAACCAGGTTCCATACTATCTCTATCTCTCTGGGTAGAAACTCTACGTGGTATGCATTCTTCCTTAACTTGCAGCTCCTAGATATCAAGAACACTGAACATCTAATAGAATGCGTTATGTGGCATTAATAAATAAAAGATTGTAGAAGCCAGCAATCAGCCCTTGATAAATTAAAGATGAACTGTTTTTGTTGCATGATATGACCTAACTATTAAGGTTCCTCTACAGAGATAGAAAGTTAAATGTGATGGTAAGGAACAAGCCGTTAGTCAATTTGGAACTCAGTAAAAATCAAAGCACATGAGAGAAAAAGGTGCACGATTTTCATTTCCTAGCGGTTTCTCCTTCCTAAACCTCATTCCCTCCCCATTCTCCAAAGAAATTCGAGTTAAATGTGATGGTAAGGAACAAGCCACTGTCGTTAGAAGTTTAGATCTCAGCAACATTTCTTCCTTATTCTTTTATATTCCCTTCTATTTTCCTGTCATCCTACATCAAAACCGTGTCAGATTATAAAATAGGAAGTGTAGCTTCAAGGATCATGAGTTAAAAACTAACTGCTGGAATTTTATTTTGAATTAGGTGGAGGCACTGTCTTCCGAGAAAGCAACCCTTCTCTTCAGAATCGAGGTACTTCCACATCCTAAAGCCATATCCTAACATCTCCTAAACATCAGAAATTAACATGAACCATCTTTCTGCGCCTTGCAGGCTGTGACGAGGCAGCTAGAAGAAAACAAGTCAGTGATGAATACAAACGATATTTCCAGTAGCTCGTCGAGGGACTTGGAGTCGGGAAAATGGGAACTTTCAGGTTCAAAACTGAGACCGATGTTGCAGGACAAGATCCACTCCGGGAAGAAACACCTAGGATCCCTGATCCAGCAACTGGATGCAATATATGGAGCAGGCATGGTGTTCATAAGGAGAAATCCAGCAGCTAAATTATGGTCAGTAGTTTACCTTGTATGCCTTCACTTTTGGGTACTTTATATTCTCATGTCGCATTCTCAAGTAGACACAGAGACAAAGTCTGGTGCTGTTATTTCCTTGGAAAACATCAATGCCTCTTTAAACATGTGATTTTCTTTTGCTCTCATTATCACAAACAGATGCCTCCCTTTTCATAAGTTTATATTATGAAATATACCATCTTATATTATTTCTACTCTTAGTTCTCTCAATGCGAAATAGCGGTAGCCCGCAGGCGTAGTGTAGTAGAGACTTCATGTGCTGTGAGAAGGATTTAACAAGTTGGTAGCATTTCAGTAGGATTTTAGATTTTCTGAGGACTTAGCTTTTGCCATATTATTGGTTTCTTCTTCATTTGAACTGGTCAAGTTCTATTGTATCTACTAACTTTGACAATCAATTGCTGAAACATAAACCATTTTCTAGCTTTAATTTCGAATTCTACTTGAAGTTTAATACTTGCATTTTACTTGAAGTAAAAAACTAAAATAGTTGTTAATAAGTAATCTGTTTTTTTATCCGAACTAAAAATTCCTAATTTTTTTATTCTCACCCCACATGTTGAACTAAAAAAAAGTAAAATAATTTAAGAGTATAGATGACCTTGTAAATTATAAATACGTAATTTTAAAATAGAAGATGTGATTAACAAATCCGACACTAGAGATGCTCTTTTGACTTTTTTCAACTCTCTATTACCAAGGTATTAAGTTTTTATTAACATACATCCCTATAGAATCGCAAAAAAAATCAACAAAATATAAAAAGAAAGATTCACAAAATATTACTAATGATTTTTAACTTATTTAAAAATGATTAGATGTTTTTGTTAATTTAAATATTGATTATGAATTTTTTCATTTTTCATATTTAAAAAATTTCTATTGTTATCGATATTTCTATAAAATTGTGATTTGAATATTTTGAGATTTAAACCATGGTCTATTACAGATTTTAAAATGTCCCCTTTCAAAAATTTTGTCTTTCTTTGATCTTATGTTTCAACTCATCCTATTGCAAATAGATAGATCTATTTTTTCTTTTATTTTTCCTCAATGAAATTAAAAATGAAAATGATTGATTCTTACTAATTAAATGTGGGACATGTGATGTTTTTTTAAATTAATAAATGAGATTAGATACAGGTGGAATGAGACTCTTATGTACAGACAAAGTATTGATAATGAGACATGACATTTCATGTTGACACATCTACAATATCAATTACTTGTTTAATATTATTACAATTAAAATAAATAAAATGTTGTGTAAAAGTCCTATAATCTCCTTCTATCAAGGTCTAATTGATCAATTGGTAGTTTTTAATAGAATTCTTCCCACCCACCATTCCCATATTAAAAACATCAATTTTTTTTTCTTGGGTGTGAAAATCCAAATCTTTAACTTGTACCTTTAATGGAAAATTTTAAATGCACCAAAGAAAAAGAAAGAAAAAAAGAGGATGTTTTATCCAACTTAAAAAACCAACCAACAAGAAACTTGTGTTAATTGACGAGAAAAATCTCCCCCACATTGCTACTATTCATCTAATATTTGTATTTTTAGAGAATTTGAATGATCTTTTTAATTCAATAATATTGACCTTTCGGTAGAAAATACGTCTTAAACAAGAATTACAATCATTTTTTTAAAAGTTGGTTGAAATTTAAATAAAAATAGACTGAGATTCAATATCTAAAAATAAAATCAATTTTCACAAGCATGTAATTTTATTTGTTATTTAAGAAAAAACCAAGAAGTAATATTAACACATAAGTGGAAAGATAAGTTTGCTTTAAAATGTGTGTTTTTCTTTTTTTGACGAATTGCTTTAAAATGTATGTTTATCTTCTACTCCAATATAATATGTTAGACTTAGACATGCGTCAATCATTTTATCCTTCAATGAGACTGTAAAATTGTTCTTTACAATCATCATATTTCCTAGTTATGTGGTTGTTAAATGTGAAACCTATATTATATTATGTGTTAGGAATAGTATATGTCCAACATTGATTGGAATACTTTTTCCAACATATCAAGTTTCTAAATCTCATGAGATCGACCCTTACTCTTTCATTGAAGTCGGAAGTTCAAGTCTCCCACTCCCAATTTATTGTACCACAAAAAGAGAAAGTATTCTCATTTATCATTTTTTAAAATTATAATTAGTATTTTAACCATCATGAGTGACTGGTCCAAAATGACTGGTGTACTGTTAATTAGGAGGGAATGAGTTCAAATCTCATGATCATCACCTATTTCAGAAATTTGTAATTCCTATGTGTTTAATTAGTATTTTATCTATTGAACTATTGATAATTGAAAAATTATAATTATAATTGAAAGTGGAGATTTGAATTGATAATTTAAATTAGTTATGCCCAAACACCTATAAATGAAATTGAAGATTGAAATCATATAAATAAATTAAAAAAAAATGATAAATTAGTATTTGATCATAGAGTCAAAATATGCAAGTTGTACAAAAATGATCGTCAGCCTTCATTATTGAAGAAGCCAAGGCAGCAGAGAGAGACAGAGAGATGAAAGATGGCGAAGGCAGCGAGAGAATAGAGAGATGGAGCGCATAGAGTGGGGAAAATGCAACGCTGTATGAACAGAACAATCGAGTGGCTGTGGATCCGATCAAACCCCCAACAATAAACTCACCATTTTTCCTTTCTTTTATGGGGAGTGGAACTCTCGTGGACGGTGTTCGTCGCTGGTTCCAACGTCGCGCTTCGCATTCTTCTTCTTCTTCTTCTTCTTCCTCTTCTAATTTTAGCCGTAATACACTTCCTCATCCCTCTGATTCTGATCACAATTGCCCCAATAATGGTGTTCACAATCCCCAAAACGGCAACCAGTTTTATCTGAGCGATTTGCGCGCCCAATCGTCCACTGCCCCCCTACGGAAACCCCTTCGGAAACGTCCCCAACAGGGAGAGGGAGAGGGAATTCCTCTTGAACATTTACCGGAAGAGGACGACGACGACGACCTTGATTACTCTGCCTTGAAGCTCATTAAAGTTCCGAAGCGGACCACTCACTTCAAATCTCCTCCTCCTCCTGCTTTCGCTTTAATGGACTCCCACAAGAAGGTATTTCTTGCTTCTTCCTTCTCTTTTCATCCATCTCCAGATCTGTCTTTGGGTTATTGCTGGATTTGATTTCCTTGTTCTTGTTCTTCTTTGATCTTTACATTTTGTTGGTATGTTCGTTTCATGATTGCTATTGTCAAACATTTTCTTCCAGTAAACTTTTCTTTCTTTCTTTCTCCTTTTTCTTTTCTCTTTTCTTGGCATAGGGTTTTCCTAGGCTATCGCCGTGATTGGCTACAGGGCAAAAGTTGGAAATGTGGAAATATTAAATTTGAGAACACGATGCTTCGGCATTTGAAAAATTAGGAACTCTGTCAAATCCAAAATTGCCCAACTTTTCGACACTGAAACTTTTTTTTTTTTTCTTTTCCTTATATTGTCCTCCGTTTCAAACAACTGGTGAGAAATCGTTATATAGGGTATGAGCATAAGTGTTTTGTTTTTAGAAGAAATGGGTTCTTGGAATTATTTGAAGTCCCCATCACGGTTGTATCTTGCAATGTTTTCTTGCCTCTTGTCTTTGGCCTCTTTCTGTTGTTGTTCCATATTTACAGGGATAAGGCATAAGAGTCCTTTGACTTCGTCCAAGTCTCATATTTCCTTGTCCATGTCTTATTTTCTCAATTGGCATTATAATCAATTGATTTTCTATGAAATAGTTTTTCTTAAATAATTCTGTTTCTTGTTAGAAAAATATGGACTTTCTTCTCCTTCCTTGAATGCATACATGAATGCAATTGATTCCTGGTGGGTGGGACTACTTGTTGAATACTCCCTATTCTTCAATTTAAAAAAGAAAATAAGAAAAAAACTGTTTGTTGAGTACGCATTCAAATCAAATATGGGATCAAAGAGTTGTATATTATACTGGTCAGTTTTTGATTGGTTGTACGTTTTTGTTAAGTTAATTCGGAAATTTTTTATGTTTCAATTTCAAGAGTATTCTCAGCCTTGAAATGAGTTCTTCACAACTTCTCCTAAATTCATTCACAGTGGTGTGAAGAAGAAATGACTTCTTGCTGGGGGAAATTATAGCCTCAACCGTGGGATTCTTGATTTTTATATAAAGATCTGTGGGATTGTTAAATATTAGGGCCATTGGCAATTGTGAGACTTTTAGCATAGCATCTTTAACACTGAGTTTTCTCTCTATTATTATAAGCATATCATATGTTAAGCAATAGCTTCCAAATCATAAGTTCACGTAAAATATTTTAATCTTATTTTGTATTTGCTTTCCTATAATGTTGTACAGGGTGGGTTGGAAACAGAGTTTTTCACAGAGTATGGAGAGGCAAGCAGATATCAGGTTCAAGAAATAATTGGCAAGGGAAGCTATGGTGTGGTCGGTTCTGCCATTGATACCCATACTGATGAGAAGGTCGCAATTAAGAAAATTAATGATGTTTTTGAGCATGTTTCTGATGCCACAAGAATTTTAAGAGAAATTAAACTCCTACGGTTGCTCCGTCATCCGGATATAGTAGAAATAAAGCACATTATGCTTCCTCCTTCACGAAGAGAATTCAGAGATATTTATGTTGTTTTTGAGTTGATGGAATCTGACCTTCACCAAGTAATTAAGGCCAACGATGATCTCACTCCTGAGCACCATCAATTTTTCTTGTACCAGCTTCTTCGTGGTCTGAAATATATACATACAGGTTGGTGGTCTCCAGGTATTTATTGACTTTATTGCTTTTCGATTAACTGATCAATTTATCCTTTTTTTCCAGCAAATGTATTTCATCGTGATTTAAAGCCCAAAAACATTCTAGCTAATGCCGATTGCAAACTGAAAATATGTGATTTTGGGCTTGCTCGTGTATCATTTAATGATGCTCCATCTGCTATTTTCTGGACTGTAAGATTGACTATGGAAACTTTGACACTTTTAATTCTTTTAAACTGTCTTGTTATTTTCTTTTTCTTTTTTTTGTATTCCAAGAGTTGGGCTTGTCGTGCTTTTGCTGATTAATATTCTTCTTTTTAAAGGACTACGTTGCAACTCGGTGGTATCGTGCTCCTGAACTTTGTGGCTCTTTTTTCTCAAAAGTATGTTGCTTTGCACCTTGATTATTCTGTTCTTGTAGTTGAGCAGGCTTGGTAATATGACTATTTGATATTTTTAAGCTCAGAATTGACTGTGGCGCATGGGATATCTCTCTCTCCTTTTTTTAATTTACTGGCTTTATGTTGTGTTGAGGAGGAAGTATCTCTTATTATCAGTCTCATATTCTACATGAACCATACACGTTTGAGGTTTGAATTTGTTATTTGTACTTCTTTTCTTATTTACACTCTGTTTGTGGGCAATTTGTTTAGACACACTTGATATTTCTGCTTTCATTTATTTCTCAAGTGCAATCCATCTTGTCCTATATTGGCCTTTTTGTGGCTTGCTGCTAGTGTATGGACCTGTTTTCTACATCTAAGTCTCCTACGGATTGAGAAGTGAAAATAGTTGATGGTTGGAGAAAATGTTGGGTAGCTACTTAGTATTGGGATTTAACTGATATAGCCATTTGGTGTGTAGCAAGCCATAGTAAGTTTACCTAGTGGGTATTCGTTTCTGACTAGAGATGTTAAATTTGACTGATCTTTATGTTATTTTTTCAGTACACTCCTGCAATTGATATTTGGAGCATTGGATGCATATTTGCGGAAATGCTCACTGGAAAGCCACTGTTTCCTGGGAAAAATGTGGTGCACCAATTGGATCTGATGACTGATGTGCTTGGCACACCTTCTGCTGAGTCCATTGCTAGGGTTCGTTATAGCAATTTCAATGCTCTCTGATGTTGGTTTTCTGCTTTCGTTGATTTTAAAGGTTGTAAAATTTTCTTACTTGTCTATCTTGAATATAACTTGCGAAGTTGTGAATCATGAACTCTAATGATAAACCATGAACTCAAATCTTCCTGAGGATCACTTGGCTTGTCTAGGTGCTGTAGACAAAAGGGTCAGTCTAGACCTCCTAAAGGATTGACAAATGCTTATAAGAGGCCTGAATATTATAAATGTTTGAAAATAAACAACGCAGTAGTAATCTGTTATGGAGAGTTCTGGGTGTTCACTGTTGCTACAAAAGAATTTTCCTTAAAATTGCTTTGAGGATTCGTTTGACATTGTCTTTGTATGGCAACCTTTCAATCATATTTACAGATTCGAAATGAAAAGGCAAGAAGATACCTTAGTAACATGAGGAGAAAGCCGCCTGTTTCTCTCACACAAAAGTTCCCCAATGCGGATCCCTTGGCTCTCCGCTTACTTCAGCGCCTGCTTGCCTTTGATCCCAAAGATCGTCCTACAGCTGAAGAGGTAAGTGAAGTGATTACCAAAGCTATCCGCAAGATATTTGTATAAAGGACTCATTTTAGATAATGTTCAATATGGTGATGTACCCAGGCATTAGCTGATCCTTATTTCCACGGTTTGGCCAACGTCGATCGGGAACCATCAACTCAACCAATTTCAAAACTTGAGTTTGAATTTGAGAGAAGGAAATTGACGAAAGATGATGTTAGAGAATTAATTTATCGAGAGGTTTGCCCCAAATTCGATGCTTTATGCTTCAACTACTTATCATTATAACTTCATTGATCTTTTTATTTGATGTAAAAACAGATCTTGGAGTATCATCCTCAGATGCTGCAGGAATATCTCCGCAGTGGAGAACAAACTAGTTTCATGTACCCAAGGTGAAAATCCATATTCATGATATATTATAAGCACTACATTACCTTTGTTAATCTTTGGGGAAAATTCAAAGGTTTACAGGAAATATATTCATTCCGAGTCAAAGATTTGATATGAAGGTCAAAAATATATTATGTTGGTTTCCTTCCATACTTCTACTATTTGTTGTTTTATGTATATAAATATCACACTCTCTCTTCAATATCACAAGCATAGAATAAGTTTTTGGATTCAACTTATAGAAGTCGCTGGCAAATAGTTGAAATATGGGTGAAGGCTGATTATTCTTTAATGACCCTCACTTTTCTTCATATACTCTCAGTGGTGTTGATCGCTTCAAACGCCAGTTTGCACATCTGGAGGAACATTATGGCAAGGGTGAAAGAAGTTCTCCACTTCAAAGGCAGCATGCTTCATTGCCCAGGTAAGATTAAATATCTTTATCATCTTCTTTCGAAAACGAAACAATATAATTATGTTATGGAAGTTGTACAAAAAGTGAGGAAGAAGAATTGTCATTCCCACATCCATCTTATCAATACTCTTTACTGGATATAAAATATAATTGGCATGTTTCCATTTCTTGGTCTTTCTTATGCAAGTTAACAATATTATATCCACGCGACTAACCTTTTCATTGTTATGGTTTCTTCAGGGAAAGAGTTTGTGCACCCAAAGATGAGGATGCTCAACACAATGATATAGAAGGAAGAAATGGTTCATATGTTGCTTCATCTCTTCAGAGTCCCCCAAGGTCACAGCAAGGGGATGGTTCGGAAAATGCAAACAGTAACGAACAAAATGGACCGAACAAGGCAAATTACAGTGCTCGTAGCTTGTTGAAGAGTGCCAGCATTAGTGCCTCTAAATGTATAGGTGTTAAACCAAGAAAAGACCTCGAGGTATGAAGTTTGTTTTGTTTTGAGAATTTTGAGGGTTCTGTTTTCTTTGTAATTTTGTTTCATTAGTTGTATGATTAACACGACAGGTCTCAAAGATGGAAAAAGAAGAATGCAATTTTATGTCGAATCAGAGCATTATTTTTTATGTTTGTTCTCATTGATTGGCAGGAGGAACCGATTACGGAGACTAACGACGAGGCAGTTGATGGATTGTCTCATAAGGTTTCAGCCTTACATACTTGATATTTCATACCTTGTATTTTTCCTTGAGAGAGTGTGACAGAAAGCACAGGGCTGCTCGTTTTGCATATTTTTTTTCCTAAAGGACATGTTGGCTACAAGGCAAAGTGTAGCAAAGTTTCACAAGTCAGGTAGAAGCTAACAACAGGATCCCTCCCATTATTTCATGCTTAACTTATTGTATAATTATTGTATTACTGAGATTAAAAAGAAAAGGGATAGTTCTATGAAATTTGATTTATTTGTATTTTGAAGGGCCCTTTCAGGTTGTTACCTCATGTGGCATAAATACAATACCTCGTTGGAGAACAAACAAGCATTGGCTTATAGCTTTATTTCACAGGCTTGTAACTCAATGATCAAAATGAATATTGTACCTTGATTGGCAAGTTTGATTGAGATAAGTTTAGTTTTCCAGCTACCTTAAAATATTCTCAGTGGGTAACTAGTTTCTGATATAAGAAAAATTACTCTACCAAATCATGGGTTGCAGCCGCTTCAAGTTTCAACATGAAGTGAATTTTTAATACCTGCAGACCAACAAGAATGGCAATACAAGTCTTGGAAATAAGTTGCAGAGAAAAGTACTTGAAAATTCCATCATGATAAATGAACCTAACAAAGCATTTAAATCACCTATGAACTTTAAAGCTTAAACTTATAGATTTTGGTAAATTAATCTTTATAAATATCTTAATAGCTAAGAATACTTGTTTGTAGACTTGAAAATTTACACAATACCCTAGCTGATGTAATCAAACTAGGAGAAAATGATACAACATTGTTCGAACACATGATCTTCTATTTTATTATCATGTTAAATCATCCATCAACCTAAAAAGTTTAAACTTATGAATTACGGTATATTTTTAATAAGATGCTTGCTTTATATATTGAATGACCTAATGCATGCCAGACCTTCCCGGCTCCTTTCTTGGTTTTAAAGAAATTAAGGAATATAGACCCTACCATTTACATTAGAATGTGGGTGAGCTACGTATAATTTTTTGAATACTGAAGTATTTTTACTTCAAAATATTTATGCAGCCAAAAATACTTCTAAAAAAAACAATTTAAAGTGTTTTTGGATAGTACCTAACCAGTGTTATCTTTTTTCTAAAGTGTTATTTTTCTTTTTTTCTTTTTTTATTAACAAACTTACTCTAAATGAAGTTTTTTTAAAAGAATTGTATGCAAACAGGGTAAAAGAGACATGTTTATACATTATTCAAGGAACAAATGACAACAAAGCAACGAATTTTTTTTTTTTTTTCCTTTGTGGAGTAGGACAGGAAGGACGTAAAGGTAAATTAAACAAAAAAAGGTGGGGCCAGGAGTAGTTCCTTGGGGGAACATTACCTCATCTTCCTCTCGAGTGAAATGAAGCTTGCTGCTATACATGAAGAACAAGCAACAATCATTGAGACCTCACAAAAAATATTCAGCCTTTTAATCAGTCATTCGTGAATGTTAAATAACTTATTAGGCTAGCCTGAACCTCCCATCCCTTGGTTCTGCAAAATGGAAGATCAATAAATTATGCAGTTAGACAAGATCAGCAACGAGTCGCCTCAAAAACCAATATTAAGCTCGACAGTCCTTAATAGCTTACCGGAGATTTGGCATACCAAATATGGCGCCAAAATACAATTTTCACTTTAATAATCTCAAGTAATATAGACGTCTCGAGCTACAGTTCTGCACTTCAATTGCTTCTTCGACTAATCGAAAGAATTGAAAACATGGAGTTCATATTTCCAACCTCGGCCCCTTCTAAAAACATATAATGAATTCTGCTAACCTGATGAGGCCTATAAAAGTTTCAGAATCCCTTACAACTCTTGATAGGTTGAGCTGTTTTCCAATTCAATTCCTGAAAATTTTCATAACCTCCCAGTAAAATGAGTCTCTTTAGCTGTTGTGCTACCGACGCCAGTGTAGGTGTAAAGCACCCAAGTTGTAGAGTACATAGCAAAGAGCACAACCTCAAATATCCTGATAGCTACACTTGTCTCACACAATGGTAGAGTCAACTGAAAGCAAATCATAAACAGAAGACTTTCGAATTCCAAACAATATGCTTGTAGTTTCCGAATTGCCAATAGCAGTAGCACAATCTCAAGAAGTTAAAGCCTGCATCTTCAGATAGCAGTAGCATCATGATGTGATACATACCATTTACAGCAACTTTTATTTTCTCTGTAATATTCACTAACGTTCTTCTCGTGTCATATTTTCTCTGTAATACCACGAAACTGCACTCAATGCTAACAAGGTTCAAAATTTTTCGCAGCACAAGCATTATGAGATGGAAAATCTCATCCTGATGTATTTTAAGAAAATCTGATCCCTGTCTCACTCCCGAAAACACTTCCAGATAGCAGTTATGGTTAACCGTGCTAATTGCACCAATTTCTGAACGTCTTTCTACAGGTCATCTAACCGCAGTTCAGGGCTTCCCTGAATAAAATGACCATATTATCAAAAGAATGTGACGTTAAGAAATGTCACCAGTAATCTCCACAAGAGCATGAACCTTCACTGAAGTGGTGAAAGCGGTTAGAATCCCTCAAGATTATCTGTCTTTTGGCAATCTTGGATATGTGTTTGATGGCATTGTGACAGTCTTCACACACCCGCAAATTTTTTATCACTCGGATTGGTCTCCCAGCTGGTATAGCAAGAATCCCAAATGCAACTGCTAATTTTTCGCTGTGATACTTGAGCATGTGCTCCTTTTCCTCCTCTTCCACATCATGGAGCACCAATTTTGTAGAAGAAACATATCCATCCTTCTTCAATTCCAGATCTAACTCGTCTAGATAAGCATATATTCTCTCGCTTTCTGGGTGTGAACTATCTCCAACACTGAATATGTGAATCTTGTTTTGTACTTCAACCCAACTATATCCAGGTACTTTCTTCACTCCCTTGTCCCTCATTTTCAATCTCATCTCACGAACTTCACTCCATCTCCCTGAAGCTGCATATAAATTTGAGAGAAGAACGTACATTCCTGAATTATCAGGCTCCATCTCAAAAATCATCTCAGCAGCCTTCTCACCTAATTCTGTGTCACCGTGAATTCGGCTTGCACCAAGGAGAGCACCCCAAGTTGCTGCATCTGGGTAAAAGGGCATGTCCCGCATTAAATTCAGAGCCTCGTCCAGCCTACCCGCACGACCCAGTAGATCAATCATGCAAGTGTAATGTTTGGAATTTGCTATTATACCGTAGTTCTGATACATCGAATTAAAATATTCCATGCCTTTATCGACTAAGCCAGTATGGCTGCAAGCAGATAAAACACCAACCTAGAATGTCCAATAAAATAGGTAAAAATTAGATGAAATCAGAAAGTTACATATTAGAAAGAGGAGAATAAAAGGAGCTTCTAAGTATGTCCTGAAGTTTTTTCATCTAAAATGTTGTGAGTACAGTTCTTAGTATTGAAAATGCATCCACTCATTCGGATGGTTGTTATGGTTTTTTATTCCACCAAATTACCTGCAGGTTGTAACTATGGTTGAAAATTAGCAAACTAAGGGAGTCAAGTGACCGCAAAAATAAATTTGCAATACGGCATGCTAATTGGTTGCTGCACTCATACTAATAGACTTAGTTTCCTCCTTTAGCTTTCAAAATTAAATTTCATCAGTAATCAAAATCTTCGAGGAGCCTTCATATAAGTACTAAATTAAATTGCTATCTGCATATCACTCTCTTCCTTTTTATTTCTAGTTTATTTTCTGATTCCCAGAATTAAATTTGAAGCAAGTGCGGCTCTAATGCTAATGGTTACAACATGAAGATCAAATTAAACAAAATATCAAAGTCTTAGAAAACTTCCATACCAGCGTGACATCATCAGGTTTGATTGTCACCTTCATTGACTCAAAAACAGCTAAAGCCTCTTTACCAAATCCATGCCTTGCGTAACCTGCAATCATTGTATTCCAGGAAACAATATCCTTCTCTGTAATATCTTCAAATACATCAAATGCCTCTTCTATACTTCCACACTTGCAATACATGGCAAGAAGTGCATTTCCCACATAATACCCTGTTTGGAATCCTGCCTTAACTAGTCGTCCATGCAGTTGCTTCCCTAGCTCGAAAGCAGCAATTTCTGCACACGAACTCAAAGCACATGTTAATGCAGACCTGTTAAACTTTCCCCCATCTCTTTTCATCATAATAAAGAGTTGCAAAGCCTCTTCACTCTGCCCACTTTGGGCATAGCCGGCGATCATAGCTGCCCATGATATACAGTCACGTTGGGGCATCTCATCAAACAAAATCCTGGCTTGATCAATATTGCCAGTCTGAGCATACCCAGTAACCATTGTATTCCAAGAACTAACATTCCGGGAAGGCATTTGGTCAAACAATTCCCTTGCCTTGTCTATTTGCTTGCTCTGCACATACCCTGCAATCATTGCATTCCATGAAACTTCATTCTTTTCAGGCATTTCTTCAAAGATCCTAGTTGCTTCGTCCAACATCCCGTTCTGCACATAACCAGATACCATGGCCGTCCAAGCAAACACATCTCGAATTGGTAACTCTTCAAACAATCTCCGAGCTTCTGTAAGCAGTCCATTCTGAGCATAACCTGTAATCATCGTATTCCAAGAGATATTATCTCTAACTGGCATACGGTCAAAAAGACTCCTCGCATCATCTAGCCGCTTTTTCTTCACATACCCACCCATCAAACAATTCCAAGAAACTATCTCCCAGTCCATTTTCGAATCAAACAATCTTCTAGCATTCTCAATCCTCCCATTCTGGACGTACGCCGCCAGCAACCCATTCCATGAAATTTCATTCTTATCCAACATTTCATCAAATATTTTCCTGGCCTCCTCAACATACCCATTCTGAGCATACCCAGACAACATAGCATTCCAAGAAACAACATCCTTCTCAGGCATCTGATTAAACAGAAGCCTAGCCGCACTAAGATTCCCATGCTTCACGTACCCACTAAGCATCACATTCCAAGAGATCAAATCTCTGTGGGGCATTTTATCAAACACCTCCCGTGCATGGTCAAACTTGTTATTGTTCAAATAACCAGATATCATGGCGTTGTAGGTGACAGTACTCCGACGGGGCATACCTTTGAAAACGCCGAGAGCGGACTCGCATTGGCCATTGCGCATGAAGGCGGTGATTTTCCTGTTCCATTTGACAACATCGGAGTCGGTAATTGTGGGCTTAGTGCTTTGGGATTCGAGTTTCCGGGTCAATGATTTCTTCGACGGAGAATAAGTTGAAGAGGCCCGGAGCTTGCTGGTGATGGATTCAGTTTGAATTGATCGTGAAGAACAGCCGCAAAATAGGCTGAAACGGCAATTCCCGCGCGCTTGCATTACCCCGGCGACCGATTGTGCATCGATGATTCGGCTCAAATATTCTCGATGTAATATATCATTAGGTTAATTTACGTAAATATCCCTTTACATTATTTCATTATCATTTATCAAAATAGCTCCGTCAATTAGAACATTTTCTTATAACCGTTAAAATTAAAACTTAAAACACATTAGTACTAAAAAAAAAAAAGAATGAAAGAAAAGATCCCTTAAAAAGACATTAGTAACCATTGTGGAATTCAAATTGGTAAATATTTTTTTGTTTTGGGGGTAAATTACCTTTTGATAACTTTTTCATTTTTTTTATTAAATTATGTTTGATTTGTACCATTTATTTTTTATATTTCCCACACTTATTAAAAAACATGTTTAAAATTTTTAGACAAATTTCAAAAACAAAAATTAAATTTTTTATTTTGTAAACACTCTAGAAAGTAGATAACATAAAAATGAAATACATAGGTAAATCTAGTATTTCTAAATTTAATTTTCAAAACATAAAAGCAAAAGTAAAATAGTTATTAAACAAGATCTAAGGAGTTGTACCTCTGAAAATTGATTTAAAATTATTTTTATTTTCAAAATATTAATTGCATGATTGAACGAGTTATAAACATTAAGGTCCTTGTCCGTGTTGAAATCTGTTTATGAATTTATGAATACAATATAAAAGTGAATTACAATTTTTTTTTTCTAAAGCCATATTTGTGAGATTACACTAAAAATTTGAGGAGACAAAGACAATTACTTTAACACACCATATTTTAAAGAATTATTTCAAAATAGAGTATTGGGTTTTTTTTTTAAAGGAAACTTAAACTTCATTAAGGAGGGAGAACGAATACAAGATCTGCATGGACATAAATCAATAGTTAGGACATTTTGTTTTTTTTCTAATAGTCGAAACATTTAATCTTCCTCCCATATTTAGTGTACTAAAAAAATTGGGTGTTAGAAACAAATGAAACTCTTTATATTTATAATACATATTTTTACCATACATATATTTTTACACTGGAATAACATTCTTTTCCCTTTAAATTTAGGTTAGTTCGGTCTTGCATAGCAAGACATTTTTCACTCTTCCAAACTATTTAAGACTATGCTTATGTTAATTACCATTCTCCCCTGGAACAAAAATATTGTTTTTTTTTGTTCTGTTTCTCCTTTCAAATAATCATTCATTCCTCTTCAAATTTCCATAGTTAATTAAATTAGCTTGATTTTTTATAAGAATTATTCAAATACTACTTCACAACACTAGACCGTGCTTGTATTATTAAATTAATTAATTTTGTGAAAACAGATATGGTTTTGCTTCTAGATTATTTAGAATGCTTCCCATTAGAATATCAATATCTTTTGAGCTAAGACAATTAACATGAAGAACCAAGTCTGTTGGGAGGTAGGCAGTGAAAAAGCAAAACATACTTAAGACAACCTTAACATTGTTTTTATGTTTGCTTTTACTTAATCTTCTCCTAACCTTGAACCATTCTTTCCTCCCCAAAAAATTTCTCCATTTTTTTCCCTTTAAAATCTCCATTGGACCCCTCTTCTTAAGCCCCATCTCCCTCTCCTTCAACCTCTGCCCTAATTTCACATAAAAAAGTGAGCTCTTTTCCATTGGGTTTTTATCTTTTTGAAAGCTTCATGCAATTAATGGCTGCAGCTGGTGATCAAGATATGGCACTTCACTCTCTTGGGTCTAAAGTTTCTGTGCTTTCAGATCATGAACCTGAAAAATGTGGCCATGTTAACAATAATGTTGGCAATCACCAACAAAGACCTTGCTTTGATCCTAATTCTCTTGTTTCTCCCAAGGCTGTGCCGCCGATTTCGGTGGCGGCTGAGGGCGATCAAGCTCTCCGCCGCCCTCGAGGGCGTCCGGCCGGCTCCAAAAACAAGCCTAAACCACCCATCATTGTCACCCGAGATAGCGCCAATGCTCTCCGCGCTCATGCCATCGAAGTCAGCTCTGGCTGTGACGTTAACGAGAGCCTATCCAACTTCGCGCGAAGGAAACAACGTGGCGTTTGTATTTTGAGCGGGAGTGGATGTGTCACCAACGTCACGCTCCGCCAGGCTGCCTCCTCAGGCGCCATCGTCACTCTTCACGGCCGGTAAATTATATTGCTCTACAAATAAACTATTGAAACATTGCTAATTTGAAAGCTTAAGCTAATAAATTCCAAATAGGTTTGAGATTCTTTCATTGCTGGGATCAATCTTGCCGCCGCCAGCGCCGTCGGGGATCGCCGGGCTAACTATTTACTTAGCGGGCGCGCAAGGGCAGGTGGTCGGTGGAGTGGTGGTGGGTGCGCTCATTGCTTCCGGCCCCGTCGTGATCATGGCGGCAACGTTCATGAACGCAACATTTGACCGCCTGCCGTCGGATGACGACGAAGCCACCGCCGCCATGCAGAGCCAACACTACCAGAACGGGCGGAGCCACCACCACCTCGATGTTTCCGATCTGTACGGAGTGCCGCAGAACTTGATCACCAACACCACTCTTCCGCCGGACTTATACTCTTGGGCGGCGGCGGGCAGAACCATGTCGAAGACTTAGAGCGACGTCGTTTTCCATTTCCATTGCCGTATTCAGTTGTTATATGTATTTTCAGAAGAATATTTTGCGTTTTTGTTTTTAAATTTCGCGAATTTGTATCAGCTGCAATGTTCAGTTCACAGTTTCATAAAGTTTCTATTTATATATATCGTATTGCTTTTCGTAAAATTTGCAAAATTTTAAGATAATCAAATGACTTTTTTTTTCATTAATAATATAAATGATTCGATCATAATTTGTTTAAAAAGTTGATTTTTGTAACATTTTTTCAATTTTATCATACGTTCTTTACAATTATTGCATTGTAGTTTTTTTGTTTTTTTGTTTTTCTAATACCGAGTACATATTATATGTTGGTGTTAAAAGAGAGAATTCCAACCTATACCAAAGCAATTTCAAATTAATAGATGAAATTGGTTTTATGAAGATCATCACATGGAAGGAAAAAAAAGCCACAAGTACAAAAATTCTATTGAGAGTCTTTGATTTGAGTTCTGAGTTATTAATAAAAACGTAAAAATAATTATTAGCATTATTGTATCTATACCAACAAAGTTAAGGTACACCTTAATTTTCTGTGGCTCAATCTCGTAAGAACTCGTTCAAAGTTAAAGTGCAAGTATATGTGCGTGAAAACAAAAACGTGCTAAAAGGACACTATGTTTGGTCTATATATATAAAAATAATCTTCCCTCTCGCATGACATTATAAAACAATTTCGATTTTTGTTTATTGTGTTATGTTTTGTAATCAAAATTATTCTACTTTCGTGCCTCAATTTTCAAAATGCACAAATGATGATATATACCACCTATATGTGTTGGTCTTTTTTTTTCTTTTGATGGTGCAAATTGCATCACATGATTGCAAATGTGTTTCAATATACGTCACTAGATTTCTTATAAATTAAAGGTACACAATCATTTGATAATAATAAACAAAACGGAATTTTTGTTGGTCTCCTGAGATTACACAATAACAAAGATACGTCTTGGGTTTTGTGGTATCAACTATTATAAGGTCTTGAATCATGTGGTTGTACATAGCTCGTTTTTTTTTATCAAGACTACAACGTAAGTAGAAGAAGTTGGCTTTATACATCCTGCTTCAAGAAAAAAAAAAAAAAAAAAACTCTTCCTATCCTGACATTGTAGACATATATTTTGGTCATGTCGAACCAATATACTAACATTAGAACTTCAACACACATTTAAAATAAAATAAAAAAGGAAAAAACCCCAATTGCAAGATATAAAAAAAAATAGCTTTTATCAAAATAGTATATACATAAAATTATACTTACATAGTACGTAGATGATAATAGAGGGTGGGTATAATCGGCTTATAACATATAATATCTACAACTCAAACAAATTTCATGGTTAAAATATTATTTTAGTTTGTTTTACTTTTTGTTTCAGTTTATTTTAGTCTTTATATTTGGTGATTCGTTTTGATCCATGTATTATCAAAATGTTCATTTTCATCCCTATTTTCAAAATTTTAACACAAATTCTAAGCATGATAAAAACTCGTCATGTTTATATTTTGAAAAAATATATTGTATATTGTGTCGTGTTGAAATTGAGATATAAAAAATGAGATTAGAAATAAAATTAACTAATCAAAATGGTCTTTTTTTTCGTCAAAAAGAACATTTTCAAAGTAGAAAGATCAAAATGAACCAAAAACGAAAGTAAAATATTTTGAAAATACAATGATAAAAATTAGGATTAAACTAATATTTTAACCCTATTTTATACACATTATCAAATATCAAGTGGATCTGTGCAGGGTGTACATATTTTAATTAAAAAATTAGAACCCAACATAGTACTTCCTGAACAGACTAAAAAAAGTACACATTAAAAAACCAAGAATAGTACCTTTTTCCCTTGATCAAAACTTAAAAGATGAGTTTTCCGAGAGTCACATGCTTGCAATTCACAAACAGTCAAAACAAGAAAGATTAAGCTCTGACACTCATTAGATTCACCAAAATATTGCCCTAATTCATTACTTAGCAAGAAAATTATTCTTCAACATAAGTCCATCAACTCATTAATATTAAAATATTACCAACCATTAAAGAAACATCATTGAAAATTGAAGGAAGAATCTCAGTTTAAATGTAATATGTAAGGAAAGTTGTTACTTTTTTTAAGCTCTGTTTTTAACTTCCATTTTAATTTACTTTACTCCCTGTAATTTTTTTATTTTTATTATTGTCTCTATCATTCCACTAAAATTTATCATATGCCTCCATCATCCACCAGAATTAACCAAAATAAGATACTCCACATCATTGAAATATATTAGACGTTAATGTCGAAAAATGTTTGAAATAGACTGGAAGTGTGGTTACTCTCGAGCTAGCTTTTTCATTGCTCTGTACTAAAACAAAGTCAAAGTCATTTGATATAACCTATCGCATTTGATCTTTATTACTTTTAGATGAATGTTTCAGAAAAGTTCTACCCTAACACAATTTGTTAAAACATAAATCTTTTATTAAGGAGTCGAACGTTCGAATCTCCAATCTGCTACGTTCAATATATTGATTAAATTTGTAATTTTTTTATTTTTGTTTTTTTTTGTTCTTTAGTATTACTTTTGAACGATGTTTGGATGTAAACAAGGAAATGGGTGGGGTGTGGGAGCAAACCCAAAGTCCCTCTTGCAATGATACATAATGACAAGAATGGTGGACCAAATCCATCTGACTTTCTTATTTTTCATTTTTTCCTTTTTACCATTATGGCCCTTTTTTTAATTAAAAAAAAACTTTTTTATTTTTTATTTTATATGTTATATAGTGGAGGGAGAAGGGCAGAAAGTGTTCTCTGTTGCCAATAAAGTGTAGACTTTTCTTTCTTCTACCTCTGCAACAATGCCACTTTTTACTTTCACAGTCTAAGTGCTAATTGATATTTCTTATTTACAGCGAGAGAGAGAGAGAGAGAGATTCTGCCCTGGTTGCTGCAGCTTTCTACAGATAAGGCGTGCTTGGTAAATATAGAAAACGGTAAAAACGGGAAAAAAATTAATTACTTTTAAAGTTTTACCTTTATATTAATTTTAACGGTAAACTCTTGATTTCATAGAAGGGGCAGTCAACATTTCAAATCCTAGATTACTAATATGGTAATTAATTGATTTATATTTAATTTAAATATTTTTTAAACGGAATTGACTTTATCAAAAAGAGAAATTTGTCGTCAAAACGATCATAACTTAGTGATAATTGACATATATTTCGAAATATGCCACAAACTATCCATTTCACCAGTTTAATGTTAAAATGACTTAACCATAATAGTTGATTTTTTTTCCCTCAAATTCTAAAACATTCACCTCTACTTTGTATCTTTATCTAAAAAGATAAAAAGGAAAAGATGGGTAATATAATTATGATTTCTCAATCAAACAATAAGAATTTATTCATCATTATTTTTATTGGGTGTTCCCCAATCAATGTCATTAAGCCAAAAAATGCAGCTTTGAAAGTGGGTGGTAGTTTTAAGAGAATATGAAGTGAAATAATGAGAGGTTGCTTTCGCTGCTTTAATATTCAGCCGCAAATGATGTAAATGCTATTTCTTTCCAAACCCAAATCACTTTTTTTTTTCCTTAAAAAATTCCCTTCCCTTTTCAAGTAAACCCTAAGCTACGACTTAAAATTAATGTTTACAAATTTATGGTTCTAATACCAATAGTGCCAAAAAAAAATTAATAATAATAGCTTTTGTGTATAATTTTATAGGGACGGTGACAAGTATGTCAAAAATATTTAGTAAAATTAACAAAATAGCAATCACATTTAATTTTTTTCAAATGTAATGTTTTAAAAAGAAAATGGAGGTTCAATTTTAAAATGATAATTTTACTTAAATGATATATATGTGTAATATATGTGTAATATATCTGATATACATTTGATATACTACTGATATGAGTATCTGATATACTTACAATGTGTATGTAATATACATCTTATATACTACTGATATGAGTATTTGTATCATATGTATGTGATATACATCTAATATATTATTGATACGAGTATCTGATATACTACTAATATAAGTGACAATTTTCACTATATTGAACATTTCAAAAACAAGTGACATATTTTGTTACTCATTTTTCGGTGCAGTATGTAAGAAAGAAGAAATAACAAAACATGTGACAACATTAAATATATTATAAATGTAAGAATTTTCCTGCGTCACCCTTTGTGTATGATATCATTTACTACAACATGAGCCATAGAAAATAAATTTGGAAAGGTTCATTTTAATATCACCCAAGAAATACTTCCAGAATAAATTTTGGCAGTTTTTTTTCCTTTTAAAGACATTTTATCTCATATCTAGAACTAGTGGGAAATTTTGTACGGTGGTAATTTCATTCACTAAGTCCACTAATATTTATAAAAGTAAAATTATAGGATGAAAAAAAAGAGCATGATACTCTAGTACTTGAATTTTCTCGCTTGGTGTTGTAGATAAATATGAATACTCTTTCTATTAACTATTTGTCAGTCGACGTCATATTAAAAATGACGTAGGATCTACCAATATTAAATAATCATTTATAAAAATAATATTATAATGTGAACAAAAGAGAGTAGTTACTCTATTAATTTCTCCACTCCCAATGGTATTTTACGTAGCTAGAATTACTTTTAAGTGAGATGAATAATAAAGTTATAAGAGTTCAAGTCCAAACTAGATAATACTATTATGAAAAAGAAAAATATTTTCACATGGACTAGATTCTCTCCTCCAATATTAAATTTTTAAAAAAGATCATGTTATTTCATCTTTCCTAATTAAACCCAACCCTTTAAGAGATTGTTTTTTTTTTTGGATTGGGATACACTTTTTTTCTTTTTGGGTGGTCAAAGAAACACTTGATAATACACACTTTACTTCCATGGTTATTTAATTATCCCTAAAGGAAGTTAGGGAGTTATTCAATTATCTCAAAGTATAAGAGAGGATTGAGATAGCAATTGGCATCCAATTCGCTCGCGGCCTCTCTTTGTCAGTCCCCATTTTGCCTTTTCTTCTTTCTTCTGCTTCTTCTTCTTCTTCTCTTTCCATTACTCCTCTTCATCCGCCATTACCAAACTTTACTCATTCTCTTCCCCAATGTCTTCAAACCCACGAATCTTCCTTCTATTCCTCCTCGGTTTCTCATTTTTTCCATCGTTTTTCTCCCTCCCCCATCCCGACCCACTAACAATCCGCCCCTTTCAGGTGAACCAGTCACCGCCGGCGACAATCCCCGCATTTCCCGAGCAATCCGACGTCCAGGGCTGCCCGCTGGACCTCCCCGACGAGCTCTTCCACGGGATTAAGACGGCGTGCGGCGGTTCCTCAAAAGGGGGTGTCTCCGGGCAGCTCCACCGTAGCCGCTGCTGCCCTGTCCTGGCCGCTTGGCTCTACGCCGCCTACTCCGCCACCGCATTGCAGAGGGCAGGCCGAGCCGGCGCCGCCGCAGGCCGTACGTCGCCGTCGTATGACCTGCCCCTGCTGCCCGATGACTCGGAAACTTGCGTCAGCAACTTGGATCAAGCTCTGAATCAAAGGGGAATCGAACTGGTGAGGCCGAATGAGACCTGCGATGTGGTTTACTGCTATTGCGGCATCAGATTGCACCCCTTGAGCTGCCCGGAGGCGTTTTCAGTGACCCAGAATGGGAATCTTGAAGGAGATCGAACTGTGAAGAAATTGGAGAGAAATTGCTTGAGTAGTAGCTCCAATGTCAATGGATTTCCAGGCCTTGGTGGGTGTTCCAAATGCTTGAGAAGTCTTTATCAGGTGGGCTTTTTTTTCTCCTCTCTCTCTCTCTCTTCTTTAACACCATTCCCTGCATTCTTCTCCATTGCTTTCTGGGTCATTAATAGATTGGGAAAGTTCATTTCGGCTTCTTTTTCTATCTTCCTCTTTCATTACTGCAACTAAGATTTCCCAGAACACTATAGGAAGATGCTTACCTGGTTAACTGCTTGCAATGATCTTCATAAACAATTTTTTTTGGGATTCTTTCAAATTGAAGGAATCAAGAGGAAATGGACCATTTGACAGTGACTCTAGTGAAGAACCATCACAAGCTGACGTGATCTTGATAAATATCAAGTCTATATTACATGTGGCATTCTTTACGTGGCTGGTGCAAAAACTGCTGAATTCTTTTAATGTTGATGAATCAAAATTATAGGTCATACATATTTATAGTTCAAATTTATTGCTGTCAATGGTAGAAGAAAACATCACTAGCCTCCAGCATTCTGTTATAGAATTCTTGCAGGATTAACCCTTTTCTTGTAACCTTCATGTCCCACTCCCATTAGTCTTTAGAGAGGCTTTGTCGACCCGAAGTCAGTTTCAGAGACGATTAGGACTTTAAGTTATTAAGTTTTCGACTCGAGGCGGGAATTGAGAACTTAGGAAATTCAGTGTTGAATGAAACAATATTAAAAAAAAGTGTTGAATGAAACAAACATGTTTTGAAGCTCTTTTGGTTGTTTGTTTACAACATTTTGTATTCTTTAGACCATTTTTGTTTGATTAGATGTGACCAATGCACCAAACATATATGATTATGTATTTGGCAATTGAGACATTAAACATGATAATGCAGCTCAGCAACAAGGACACTTTGAATTCAAGCAAGCCAGAGAACAGGACCACCAAGATGCACCACAAGGAGTGTCAGCTGATGGGTCTAACTTGGCTTCTTGCCAAGAACCGCACGGCATACATCCGCACCGTCACGTCGGTGCTTCGGGCTAAAATGATGAGYGGAGATGGGTCGGATCCTCAGTCGTGCACTCTCAACAGCGATGGAATGCCTCTGGCTGTCGATTCCGCTGAGATCTCAGGCAGTTCTGTTTCGACTCCCGTACAAGCACCGCTGTTTCTTAGCCTGGTTTGGCTGGCTTTGTTGTACCATTTGATCATGTTGTTTTCTACACAATGAGGTTAGAACTTAGAAGGGAATCACTTAGAAATTTGTAACTGACCTTTTTTTCTTTCTTTTTTGTGTAGGTTCTTTTGTGCATTGTGATTGTTGTTTTTGTATTCATGGGGTTTCAGAAATGATCTCTTTTTCTCTGTGTTGATTGGAAAATGCCAAATTATTTTCTGGTRTGTCCTCTGAGTAAATACCATTTTTGTTTAGGTCCTTAAAATTGGCATTTTTGTGTAAATTTTTTAAACTTTGCATGTGCAGGGAGGGCCTATTTATTTGTCACTGATTGGCCATTGTTCTATTATTTTCTGGCACTTTCTTTGGTGGTATTATATAGATGAGATAAGATATGGCATCCATGTTTTCTTGGGTTTTTTTTTTCCTCAATATTATATAAATAATATATTTGGTTAATATCTAAATTTACTCCTTATATTTTGATTATTATCTCTTTTTATTCTCAATTTTGGAATACTTACATTTTTATTTTAACTTTGAATCATGTTACTATTTTCTTGTGTTATTACTGTTAATGGTTACATATATGTTACATGTCAGGTTAGCATTCTATTGATGATATTTTTTTTTCCTGAGTACATCGATGAAATTTTTGTTATTGTGTTGAGTTAAACAATATGTAGAGTTGAATATTTAAACTTCCAATCCTTTCAACAAAAATATATACCCAACTATAAACTGGCCACGGTTGAAACTGAACAGAAGTATAATTTAAGTTTAATGACTGTAATTATGAAAAAATAATTTTATACTATTATAATTTAACTCATACAATCCGAATATAATATCAATGGGTTTGTTTGGGTCCATCATTTGTCAAATGATGAAAAGATCAGTTCTTGTGAAGGTTCTCTATTCCCTATTTTTTTTCCCCTCTTATCAACCCAATGAAAAGCTTCATATGAAGCTGTGATTCTAGAGAGTTAGAAATTAATAATATCGGTTCTTCAATGTGATTTTTTTAATTTTGTGTTTAATTTGTGAGTTATGAATGGTGAATTTTTGTGTATAATTTGAGAATTGTAAATACGCTCAACTATCTAATGTTCAACTTGAAGCTAGATAAATCTATAAATGAGAAATCTTTATGCCTATTTAATCTCATTAAATATTATATAAAATTGATACGTAGGGACTTTGAATTTTATAATTCATATAAAAGTACTTGCAAAATAGATGAAAATGTTGATTCTGTTTATATCAATCTCCAACTTCAGTAAGAAGATTTCCTATTCTAAGTACTATGAAGAAAGTAGTAAACGTTGTTTATTTTCTTTTAAATAAAAAATTGCCTTTTAAATTTAAAATCTAAAATAATTTTTTTCTTTTTTTTTTAACAAAAATTAA